TAGAATAATACTCAGAGTCCAAAAATACAAAGCAGTGACCACCAAATGCAGTTTGTGGGGTCAGAGAAGATTTCTCTGAAGGGTTGTTTGAGCTGAGATCTGGAGGATGGAGAGAAATTAACTAGGTTGTCTGCGGGTAAGGTAGAGGGTGCTGAGTATTGCAAAAGGGCCGAAGGCCTGAGATTAGAGAGTGCTTGCTTGGGACGTTGGAGGTGTGGACAGGCCATTGTAAGTGGTTCCGAGAGAAGGTAGTAGAGTAAGGCTGGTGAGCTGGTATCAGACTATGAAGGGAAGGAAGGGGCTAGGAGGCCATGTTAAGGACCAGAGTTACTATTCTAAACGAAATGAGGAAGTTTTAAGCAGGGTTTGAGTTCACATGATTTTCTTGAAGGGCTTACTTAGTCAACCATCATTGCCTTTGGAGTGGTCTTGCTTCTAGAGTCAGGGACACCATTTGTCTTAAGTACAGTAGTAATAATTCCTTACGGCAAGTGGCCAAATAACCAGCAATTCCCAGCATGTCAGGCCCCCATAATGGGCCTACAAGGACGATAACACTTGAAAAACATCAGAGAGAAAAAAAATTGTTCTTTGCCCTTAGTGAACTAAGGATAAAGGAACCGTAAAGGAATATAGTCAACCATTACTGCTCTGAGGCTAATGACCTCGAAGCTCTTGGCTTCCCAAGCTAGTTTTTTTCTCATCCTTCTTGGCATTTCATTGCTTAAGAACAACTGTTCCAGGAAATGGAAAAAGAATGGAGTTCAGACTCAAAGTGGGTTTTTACTTTTTGACGATCCTGGTAAAATGCTTATAGGGACAGAAGGTTGAAATTGTCAAGAAGAGTGTTTTTGGATTTGTTTGTTAATCTTGGCCCTCTTTGAAGGCAGAGTGCTTCTAAGAGAAGATCTTATCATCTGATGAATAGGTCAGTTGTCACTTGGGAGGAGGGAGTGAAATTGGTGGTGGCAAGAGAAGGGTGGATTTGGAGGAAGCATATCACTTTCCGGAGGGTTTTGTTCCAATTCTTCTCCAGATACAAATAAACATGACATTGGGTGAATTGATTGACTTCTGTCAGACTGATTCCTAGACTGTGATAAGAAGGAATTTGGGCAGAGTGGGGTGGCTTACACCTGTAATCCCATCACTTTGGGAGGCCAAGGCAGGTGGATCACAAGGTCAAGAGATTGAGACCATCCTGGCCAACATGGTGAAACCTCGTCTCTACTAAAAATACAAAAATTAGCTGGGTAGGGTGGTGCATGTCTGTAGTCCCAGCTACTCGGGAGGCTGAGGCAGAATTGCTTGAACCTGGTGGGCAGGGGTTGCAGTGAGCCGAGATTGTGCCACTGCACTCCAGCCTGGTAACAGAGCGAGACTCCATCTCAAAAAAAAAAAAAAAAAAAGAGACGAAGGAATTTGGATTCAGGGACTTTTCTCAGGTTTTGTTCAGCTCTTACCACTTTGTTCTCCTTCCTACCTTTAAATGCTCTATGGGAAATATGTATTTTGGGAATCAATGTGCTGTATGTTTTGTCTTGAGGATTTCACAGATCCTTGAGAGAATATTCTGTGTTTAGTATAGAACTTGGGTTAGGATTCATTGATGCACTTGTTTTACAGTTAGGACACGAGTGGGGTGGAGGTCTTCAGAAATGAATGTCATCTGTTGCCTACATTGATGACATTATAGTAAGCAGATCAAATGTTATAGCTATGTTCTTGAAAGGAGCTCTTCTAGGCCTCTATAGCTGGGCAGAACATACTGTGTTCTCTGTGTTCTGTTTTACAGATTGCCTGGTTTTCTCTGAATTTTGTGCTGCTTCATGACTTCTTTTCCCTTGATAACATGACACATGGCTGATGACCTCAAAAAACCTTCTAGATTTTCTCTTCTACTGGTATTTAACTACATGTAATAGTTTCATATTTTTCATTTGAAGATTACCTTGTAATTTTAATAAGGGCTCATGAATGAAACCTACTAAATGGACAGTTGAAATATCCTACATCCAGGAAGCTGCATTGCAGTATTTTACTCATAGCCAGCTGGAATTCTAATAGATTGGTTTGCTGATTGTCCTATTAGTTTTTGTTTTGTTTTGCTTGAGGATTCAACTTTTCTGGATTTCTTTAACTTAATAGTTAAGTCTGGTCTGTAAAGCTATAGATAAGGTAAAAAAAATTGTGGGTAAACTCTCCAAAGTTTCCTAGATCTTGCTTGGTGGGAGTGCAAATCCAATAGCCCATGCGTGTTATAACCATTGCCATTATTTGCTCAGTGGAGTAAAACAGAAAAGCATTAGGGAGAGTCTCTGTGGAGCTTCATGCAACTGGTGTGACATTGTCTAAGAAAAGTTGGTGGTTTGAGGAACCATAACCCAGGAGCACTTGATTGAGTTTTTAAAACACACAGTAGATTAAGGGCAGAAGTGTGTCGAGTTCAGCCACCAAATCTGTTCATGTGGGTATCTTATAACTCCTGGAACTTGAATACTTCCTAAGTTTACTCCAGGTTTAATTTCATTCTAACCTTGTGATGCTGTCAATAACCAACATTGCCCCACCCCTCAAAAAGCCCAAAAAACAAACAAGAAAACCTCTCACTGAAAAACCATTATTTTGAATTTGACATGAGAACCAATGCATTATTTGCCATTTTTCTCATAAAAGTTAACTGCAAGTTCTGTGTAAGAAATTTTAAATAGATAAGTAAGTGTCACACAAATGAATACAGATATATTCCAGTTCTTTGAATATACGTGAACTGTTTGCTTATTGGTTGAATGCCAAGACCAAGGTGAATGAAAATGGTCATTGAAGCTCATCCATCTTTTAGACATTTGGCACTTCATTGTGCAAATGCGCACATTGATAATTTTGGCTTAAATACTTGGCATTTTGTTTGGAAATCTGTCAGCCCCTTTGAAGTCTTTTAATTTGGGAGTGGGGGTAGATTAGACTGGAATAATAATAAAGTAGGCTCTGCAAATAATTGCAAATACACAGATTATTTCTTTTTTATAGGTTGCCAACAGATTTTATAAATTGGAACTTGACATTGATTATTTTAGGTTGTCTAACTTGTCAAGAAGTACAGTTTCTGTTACAAGGAAATAATGACGTTTTCGTTTAGAGGATGAAACATTTTCCACGACCATGAATCTGTTACTGGCTTCATTCAGCCAGCTGCCAGTGGAATCCAATTTCTAGAAGGCAGAAGCAGTGCCATTCACCCTTGCTGTTCTTTCATTCCTCAAATTTTAAGTCTTTCAGCCTCCAAGAATCCTTAGGGTCTTCCTCTGCCAGGTTAAATGTGTGAATTACAGAGTAAAGAGTAAGTTGAAGATTTGTTCCATTTCCTGCTCTCAAATAATTTTCATGGTTTTCTTTTTTCTTTTTCCCTTTGGTGATCTACTTTCAGAATCTGAGTCACTAAATTAGTTTTATCAAAGGAGGAAAATGTACTTAGATACTTAGAAATGGAAACAAGATTTGTAAGTTGGCAATCACCTTGAATGAAAATACAGTTGGCCTTCTGTATCCACAGGTTCTGCACCCGCAGATTCAACCGACTGTGAATCAAAAATAATGCGCAAAATATCCAGAAAATGTTACATTGTTGCTGATGTTTCAGTATAGAATCTTTTCTTGTCCTTATTGCCTCAACAGTATAGTATATCAAATATTTACATAGCATTTACATTGTATTAAATATTAGTAATCTAGGGATGATTTCAAGTATAAGAGGATGTGTGTAGGTTATATGTAAGTGCTGCACCAATTTTTAAGTGATTTGAGCATTTGAAGATTTTGGTATCCTCAGAGGGACCTGGAACCAATCCCTACCACCCTGATAGTGAGGGACAACTGTACTAGGTGAATACTGCCTTGCCTTAGCCAAGGTGATAACTATGTATATTATAGAGATAATTGCCCTCCAATGCAGTTTTGTTTTTTGTTTATACTATGTTGGAAAACCGTTATTTTATTGAAATATAATTATGTGGAATTTTTGAAAGAAAATATGGAATATGTTGTTTGAAAAGCTTTTCACATAGATTTTAAATTTCTCAACAAACCTTTTAGGTTTTTCACAGATACAAGCATTTATAGCAGAAATGTAGTGAATATTTTTATACATATTCTGTAAAACTTAAGTCCCATTCTACAAATGATTGGAGTAGAAATAGGCATTAAAATGTGGTGGATTCATGCACAAGTAGGTGGTTTGTGTACTATAGTGTGAATATACTGTTTCTTATTTTCTTTAAGGGGGCATTTTTGTTCCCCTGGGGAAATAAACTTCCCATTTATTTTTCTTAAGTATTTTTAAGCTTGGTTACTTATTTTTTTAAGTAATCCCTGCCACTGTTTATATGTAGAACCCAAGTAGCATTTGTAGTTGAATCTTGTACATTAAAAATATTTTGATCAGCAAATATTTAACAAGTGCCTACTGTGCGTTAAGATGTTTGTAGAATTGCTGTTTTGTTTGTGAATGTCAGCACTGGGCATAGATCTAAATCCTCCTCTTTGCAAACACCCCTGAGAATAGGAACTAAGGTGAGAATGTGTTTTGGCCTATATCGTGTTTTCTAGTCATTTCTATGTATTTTATTAGAAAAATATTTAAAAAAAAAATGTTTTGGGTTAGGGAACCAACCCGCTTGTCCAACTTGTGAAAGTCTGCGGAACAACACCACCATCAAAAAAGACAACATACTCGGATCAGGAGTGTAATCACCCAGTCACCTAATAAAAAGAGTGCTTGAGTATGCATATGGAGCAAAAGAGCAAAACCATTCATTTGGTAAAGGGTGAGTAGGGGCCAGGAGACAGCGACAGAATGCTTTAAAAACATGTTGCCATTAATATTTAAGACAGAAAGCGTTCTGAGCCCGCTCCTCTCTTCTACCCTTCCTCAGCATTCATGTTGTAGTTTGCTCCCAAATGCTCACAAGTCCGCGCCAGACGGAAATTCGCACAGGCCGCTGCAGTCCCGCAGAGGCCACTCAGGGGAGGGACGCGGGCGGAACAGTCGCGCTCAGTCCTCCCAGGCCGCCCCAGGCCCCAGGTCCTCTGGTGCCTCGTGCCGGCTCCCGGCTCGCCTCCCTTCTGCTCTGTCCAGCCCGCCCCGCCGCCCCCCTGCTCACACATGCGGCCCCTCCCCCGCGCCCCAGCCTCTGGAGTCGCTTCGAGGCCATCTAGTCATACGCTGTCCATCAGATGTGTTTACTTTTTTCCTGACAGCCGACACATCTGGAGCACATATTCAGGTTATTCCAGTGCCACTAGACACATTCCACAAGATCATTTCAGCGGTTGTTATGGCGATCTTCCTCCCTCCAGTGATTTTCAAGTTGCATGACAGAAATAGCTGGAGCTAACCAGGGGGACAAAAGTCAACGGGATCAGGAAGGGCTTCTTTCACAGAATGAACTAATTAGTGACCCTGCTTTCTTCACAGGGCAATGAGCATATGGTTTAATAAAGTGAGTCTGTGACACTTTTTTTTTCTCTGTAGGCAAAGCTGTCACTGGCTGAAAACTTCCCTGTTTTTACTGGTGGGACCGTAGTCTGCTGTCTTTCAACAGAGTTTACTTCACAAGTAGAAAATGTTTGCTCCTGAGAGTTAAGCTTCAGAACGTATTCTTGGCTTCATACTACCTAACTATAGCAGGTCCTGTAACTTAAAGAGACAGTATTAATTTTATATTCATTTCATGGGAAGGATTTATGCTTACTCAAGACTAAGCATTTTCATTTAGGGTTTTTAAGTATTACGAATTGACCTGAAAGTTCAGGTAAATAGAATTTGTTGTTTGCTGTGGTTTGTCTATAAAATATGATCAATATTTCTCACTGGATTAGTTACAAATTTATTTGAACCTGTGATTTTTTTATTGGGCACAGTTACGGAATATTTTAGTATTAAAAGATTTGATTAAGCTACTCCATTTTTATCACATTTTAAGTAGCATGCAGATGTCAGGTTATGTCTGTCAATTTTTTTCCTGATGTACTTTTTACATTTTGTGTAGGATTTTGGATGACTTTATAGTGTGAATATATCATTGCAGACATGATAATTTAGACCTGAGATCATTTAGTGTTAGTAGTAGTAATACTGCTTGCAGCTTATAATAGATATATAAGGCAATTCTGTAAAGCACTGCCATCTTTGATTACTTTATAAAGAATACAAACATGCCTCAATAAATGTTTTTTGGATGAATGGACATATCATATGGATTCAAACTAAATACATGTTGCCATTAGTCATGAGTCTGAGATGTATAGATTATAGGGGCTCATTTTCTTTTCTTCTTTTTTGATTTTGTATTCCTATACTCTAATTCAGTCTTGAAAAACCTAGCCAGCTATACATATTTCACACTTCTCCCCATAAGTACCATGATACTCTTTTATAATAAAACACGTGTACACATAGAATCTCGTAACCTCCTTTTCTTGTTCTTTCACCAATACTCACAAATTCCCCTCCTTTGCACACACCCCATTTTTAGGTTTAGACCCAATGCACTTAAGTCACCATGAACAACAGAGTTTATAGTGTTCCTTTTTGATCGAATTACTCATGTGTTGACTGAGTTCTCAGAATTCTAGGAATATGACAATGAGTGACAAGTAGGAGAATCAGAGCTGGACTCTCCCAAGCAATTGTCTTAATCTTTCTCCATCAGTACAATACCTCTTTCCTCCACGTCTCAGTCAAATTCCTGTTCAGTGGGTCCCACTGAGGCTGGTCGCAGCTGCTGTGGAGTACCTGCTCTTAGGAAGACTAGAAGAACACTGAAAGGTCACATAATTACATGTGAATTTAATTCACAGAGACCTGCTTGTCACTTTTCCTTGTGTTTCTCCTAGTTACACGTTA